CACTCTTTCAAGGAAGGGTGTTGGTGAGGAATGTCTTAATTCAATTTCATACATTCAGACCTAGAAAAATTCAGACTGGCAATACTTAAGGTTTGTACCAGCTAATGTGTTAAGGATAAGTCAGTCAAATAATACAGAAATGTTTAATAAAAAATAAAATTACAACTTGTTCTGTAAATAAAAATACTTAATTGCCAGTAAGGAACTGTGAGGTGGTTCTAGTATGCTGCTTGTTGACCAGCGAAAGTTGAATCACTTGGTTTATATAATTATCATGATCGTTGTGTCCACCGTATGTTAAAGCTGCATTTCAGAGATGAAAATGTCACACTGGATATAATTTCCAGTAAAATTATTGATCTAATTGCTTCTGACAGTCTAACCACCGTATTCAAGGTCTTTCAAGAAAATTTACTGTACTGAAAGCAATGCAACCAATTCAGTTGTGGATACCATAAGCAGAAAATTTACTGTGAAGATAATTATTTTCTGAAGCAACTGGTTTTAGAAGAACCCCTCCGAAGTCAGTGCTCCCAACTAAAAATAGCCTGCTGGTTACCTGCCTTATGTTATGCCATTTCCCCAAAAAAGCTACAGAAAGAATCACCCTTTTTTTTTACATGCAGACTGGTATTTACATGAAGAAATGTCCAAAATTTCTAAGTAGGTGCTAAACTATTATGCCTTTGCTTCTCCGCATCAGCAACATTCAATAGTGCTGATAGGATTTGGACAATGGCCCAGGTCTAGACTGCCTGACGTATAGGAGCTATGCTGTAGCAGCAACCTGGATATTATAGAATTATAAAACAATTCAGGCTGCAACGGACATCAGAAGGACTCTAGTCTGACGTTCTGCTCAAAGCAGGGTCAGCTATGCGGTCAGATGAGGTTTTTCAGGGCTTTAGGTCTTGAATACCTTCAAGGATGGAGAGTAAAAAATGACAAGTGTTCATGTGGTGCACAAGACTTACATTGCTAGGTTTTTCCACACTCATTCAGGGATGGTCTAAGATGCAGTGTACTCAAAGAGGTAAAATACAACAGCCTACTGTTGGAAATATCACTAAAGTCTGAACTAAGACAGAAGAAGGAAATTCTGTCAGATTGCCCACGCTCAAGAACAAGAAGGAGGGGAGGAAAGTGGTGAGACAGATTCTGTTTCTTGATGATTTTATTTCCATGTGTGATAGAAGACTGAGACACCCATCAATGACTAGCCAATAGCCTAGCAGTGAACATACACATTTGGTTTTGAGATACAAAATCCCAGGTCTAAATCAACAAAACAAGAACCTCCATGACTGTCTTCTACTTCTGCAATGAGTTTCCTAATCATGACTATAAGTTATCATAATGTGAGCAAGTCAGTCTCACTAATTTTTCAGAAAAAAAAATCAAATATTTGGTGTTGTATTGCTTCCAGGCCACAGATTTTAAACTTCAAAAACCCATGGAACTGAAAAAACACTTCCTTCCTGTAAATCTACTTGTTATCCAGAGAACCACTCAACCTACTTTAAAAATGTCAAAGTTTTTGTATCCTGGTGCAATTTAATTTCAGTATTAAATTCCCCAGTTTTATTGCTGATTCTGAGAGTTTTCCACATTCAAGAAGTTTCCATATTCCAGAAGTTACACCACTGCCTCTGATTTTTGGCTCAAAATTCCTATTTCCTGATTAGACTGCAAAGAGGAAAAACTGAACTTAATCTTAGCTCTCACAGTCCTTGAAAGAAAACTATCTTTAGGTCAGGCTCACAGGGAACTGCAGACCAAAGCACTATCCTTTCTACACCTACATTTATAGCAGGGCTAGATCCAGAGGGAATATTTACTGCAGCACTTAATAGGTTTATCAAAGGTAGGACTTTAGCTGCATAAGCTTCAAGAGCCTTCAGGGATGGGAAGATGATTGTTTTTACACTGATGGTCTTTGCCAGGGTGCTTATGACTGCTTTGCAGCTGCTTTGCATGGCCACAGTTGGTGTAAAACAGCCTTTGGCTACCTATGAATCAGTCCCCTAGTCTCAGCAAAGACTGAAGGATTTTGTTCAGTGTCCTTAAATGGGATGAGTATGTGTCAAACCATGTGAAGAAATCAGCTTTGAGTTAATTCAAGTGGCTTTTTGGGCAAGAAGGCACACAAACACTAAAGACAGTTTAAAATTATTGTTAGTTTTATTTTACTCTTCAGCTTGTATTACTCAGCTCTTTTTCTCTGTGTTTTCCATGTGCTTTACATAAAAAAGAAATCTTGTTAGACAGAGACTTTAGGTATTCTGAAGTGAGTATGAGTCAGCTTTGACTATAAAAAAGCCGTGGTAAGAAAGGCACAGAGCAGGGCAGGGTGAAAAAGCAATTATTTTATATATTTTTTTAGAAATACTTAAAAAATGAGAAAAAATGCCAGTTTCACATTCATTCATTTTTCTTCTGCAAGATGTGCTTTGTGATGTAGCAGAGAAACTACGTGACTGTCCCTTTAAAAGCCATCATACCAATCAGCAGGTTTAACTGTCAAGCAAGCTGATGTAGGGCTCTTTGAATTACTGAGTGAGGGATATTCTTCCTGCCAGGTCCTGTCCCCTGTAGGCACTGCAGAGAAGTATTATAGGGCAGTCCTTACCTTGGGAATTAGCCTGCAAGACCCCAATGCTGTCATCAAACTGCATAGATTTGATGTTGAGTGACGCCAAGATGCATTCCTTGTCCTGCAGCGAAGCATCATCAATATTATTCTGATTGGCTGACAGGATAACGCACATGTCGCAGAGGTTGATGTTGACAGCCCTTAAATCAGCCCGACTTAATGGTGTACCCTTTGGCACAGAGAAAAAAAGGGGGGGAGGGGGGCAGGAGAGGAAAAAAAGAAAAACAAATTAAGGATTGAGAAGGAGCTTTGGGAAATTATTTAACAAGTATCTTTTTTATGCTCTGACATTAAGCTGGTCTAACTATGTGCCAGGGAATAGGAGATGTGTGCTAATCTAAAGGGTAGTTGGTGCTGATGGCAGCATTTTAGTTCAGTCTCAATACTCAGTCAAGCTATTACTAACAAACAAGAAACAGGAATAATGCCAGCATTCTACATCTCATCGGTGACTTGAAATTGTCTTGATTTAAGTTGCTATCATGTGGCAACCTCTGGCTCTCTGAATATAACAAAGAGTGTGTTTTAAATGTCTGTTTATCTACCATCAAGTCACAATGGTCTTGGGCAAAAGAACAGCAACTTAAACAGGAAAGCATTATATGTCTACACATTTGAAATGCAATCAGGATAAAGCTATTTCTACCTGAAGCAACATACAATGCATGTTTTTGGTGCTTCTAGAAGGAAAACACACTGATCTTCAAAGTTGTGTGATTAAGCCTTTTGAAATAGAAATGAGACTTTATCTTAATGGGCATGACTTGTACAACATTCCCTGCTTCCACAATTTTCAGTCAGAGAATGCAATAATTAAAATGAAATGTTGTGGTAGTTTTATTCATTGTTAACACAACCGAGCCATGACACTCACCCCATTATGTTTTGTTTAAAAATAACACTTGTCTTTCACATCTAACAGTCCACATCTCTAGTTATGGAATATGAAGTCTATGTTACACAGGCTGCAAGGTCCCGGAAAAGAAAAATAATTTCTCATGGAAACTACATTGTGCTCCGCTACCTCACACGGTTTGGTACCCAAAGACCCTAATGATGACGAGGAAACTAAGGTGTCCCCTTGTCACACAGCAACTTTCATAAAAGTGAGTCAAGACCCTACTCTTCCATCTCCTGATCACTCATGGTGAACATCTCCTGAACTCCACTGAGAATATTCAATTCAAAAGTGAATTTAAAATACACAAAGTGAAGACAGAACTCAATTCTCATTCAGTGATTGCTACCTAGTTTCAGATACCAGCCTATTTCACATTACTTGCAGTAATTTGAGGCATGAAACCTTCTGGAAAACAGTATATATTGAACAGATACGATTTAGTTACAAAGTACTCAAAAGTTAGGGTATGATTATTCCTGCCACATTAATTCTGCCCTTTGTGTCTGCACGGTACACCAAGTGAAGCAGGATTCCTGTGGGGAAAAATAATATGCAATCATGTAATTAATTAAAGGCTTACTCCTAATGATTTTATACAAAGGGACAGAATTAAGGCTGCCTGAGGATATCTAAAATTGGCATTTGCCTACTTTTTAAGAGTTTACTCAGCAGCTTAAATCCCTCCTTGTATACAGAATTTAAATGAAATCTCCACTTTTTTTCTAAACCAGAACATTTTTATGTTCAGCTGTAGCTACATCCCCATCAGATATCAGCAGCATGTTTTACCTTGTGAACCAAAGCACAGAGAAGTAGGAAATGAATTTGAGTGTCCTCCATTAAACATACGATTCCTACCAGTATGATGTCAGAAACTTTAGCAGACTTTTAAATTAGTATAATTACTTCAGAATAATGCTGATATTTTTAACTTTATATGACCATTTTGAACCAGATAGGATGGGAAAAAAAAAAAAAAGACAAAATAGTAATGACATCTGTGTGGTCTTCAGCACCCTTGGCTACTGCTGAAGATACAATTCCTTTACATATTCGGTACTATTAAAGGTGCATTAACTAACTATTTAACTTGATATTAGTCCAAAACTAGTCTAAATTTGTGTGCAAACTGATTGGTGAATGGAAAGGTGGTGTACATTTCCTTAATGCCTCTTCAGAATTCAGAATCAAAACTTTACAAATACACATTATAATAATGGATAAACATTATATACTGGATAATTTGGAGGTAGTAGCTGGATTCCATTTTGCTCCACAGTTCAACATTATTGTTAATTTAATTCTGTTTCCTTAGTCTTAAGCCTTCACAGTGACTGAAATGAAAAGAGATTGTCAGGAAGAGGAGGATATTAACTGACCAAATCTGATATTGACACCATTTTTGTGACAGCAGAGAATCTTGTGACACCATCTGATCCAGTTTACAGAAAAAAGCCAAGGGCTATCACTAAAACTGCATTTACAGTAACAAAGACCTACAGCCTGAATTAATCAGAAAGTGAATGGCAGCCTTTCCATTCTGTTGCTATTTTCCCAATTATTCCGTTTAGGTTACATCCATCCTTGATTTATTTATTTTTAAGTGCTGAAATGTAATTATTAAAAACAGGTAAATTCATATTTTTTCATTCTGATAAAACATCTAAACTTACTTTACTCTCTAACATACAGAACATTCTCTTTCCTACTTATACCATGGGATCAATTCCCTTCTGCTTACATCTTTGTGGGTCATTTATAGCTATGACCACCTAAGATCACTAGCTTGGAGGGCTGCTTGTTTGTCCTGTAGCTCATGTCTCTGCACTTTGGGCACATGAGTGAATGATAATGATATGTAGGAGAAAAAGGACCTCTGAACTGTGGTTTTGCGGTTGTCCCTACTAAAATCAATAAGAGCTTTTAACTGATTTCAAGAGAGTCAGGGTTTTGGTGTACTTCCATACATGAGTACGGCAGGACTCAAACAAAATACCTTAGCAATGTTCTTTATAAAGCAGGCCAGCCTACAGGAAGCTTTTATGAATATAGATAGATATTACACAGATAGGGAAACAATAATTATTTTCAAAGCTTTTCTGGGTATAAATACATAAATAATGTTTTAAATAACTACTGTCATTCTGTCAGGGAAATCACAACATCAGAACTAGCTACATGTAGTGCACTACAGTGCATGTTCGATATATAACACAGCTAATACATTTGGTAGCAGCTGAAAGTCATCTGATGAGGATGATGAGGAACCGAACACTGCAGCAAATATCTTCTAATAAGGTCTCACAGGGCTCTGTTTTCATAGACACAGTAAAGGGAAAATCTAAGTCCTCAGGCCTATAAGTAGACAAAAGTAAAAAAGCCTAAGATCAAAGTCAATGTGAATCTGTCCAGTTGGTGTCCTAAATAACAAAGTATCAATAATATGGCTTTGGACTTACAGGCAAGATTGAAACCTTGGGGAAGTTATGCAGTGTCTCCCATTCCCTTCTCAGGTATTCAAGTGAACCCACAAATACAATGTGCTTGAGTTCATGGTAGTGAAAGTTGCTGGCTCGTAATGGCATCACTAAATTTCTTAATCCAATCAAAGCAGATTTAACATCCCCAAATATGCAAACGACTACATGCCCACTTAAAACTGTCATCGCTGCTTCACTTCGAGTCTAAAAAACAAAACAAAACAAAACAAAACAAAACAAAACAAAAAGACAAGGAAGAAATGAAACAAAGGGAAGCTTAAATCATATATTGAGTTTTAAACCAGGAAAAACACAACTGTCAATACTGTTCATGCACAAAGAAGTGGTTTGATAATAGCTGTTCATTATACCCTTATTTATCCTTCATTAATTGTGCTCACCATAAGAAAATTTGGTTCTTATTTCAAATCCTTCAGTGATTGGGAAGACATTGTACTAGACCAAATTCTGGTCCTGTATATGTTTCTACACATGTGGATTAAGTCTCTGGTTACAATCAAAGTACCATGGATTTAGCTAAGAACAGAATTTGACCTACTATGCACTAGGCAGTAGAGGGATTATAGAAAAGATACGCAAACCCACACCTTAGCTGATGAATCACCAGTGGGTTTTTTTCAGGACCAATCTGAAAAGGAAAATGTGAGTGCCCAATGGTTTTAGTAAGATTTTGTGATATTACACATATCTTATGAACTGAGTACCATGTTCTCTTACAGTCGTAAGTTTTTATTTTAGGACAAGCTGCTGCTCTCCTGAGAAGCAATCAAAGAATGCTCTACACTGCTCTGCTTTACAATAGATACCACCATACTCCACAGAGCTTCTCTCAGTAGGAAAAAAGTAGAAACTAGTATGTAAGATCGTGACTAATACTAACTTTTCAGGCCCACTGGACTTCCTGAGTTCTTGAATAGATTGAAGGAAAAATGTTTCCTGGAGAACACTTGAATGATGTTCAGAATTATCTTCTTGTCTCAGTGACAAGAAAAAAATTTTTGCACTAACTTCATCAGTGGTAATGTCAGTTGAGCAGGCAACTCTAACACCAAGATGATTAAATAAAGTCATTAGGAAAAAATGACCTTCATTTCTGGAGCCAGTCGTAGCTTTATTGCACTCCATCAAGTAGCTGAAGCTCCAGTGATATCATATTGCCAAAAAGTTGCACAGTCAGTACCATGAAATAGAAATACTGACAACGAATAAAACTAAGACAAGGGTGAACTGCAAAATTTTCCCCTCACTTATCTGTACTGTATGTCTTTTTTCTGAACTATGGAAGCATGATAATGTACAATACAGGTTGGGAATATGCAGCAGAGGTGCTCGCTATGTAAGAAGCATGGAAACTGTGATTAGAAGTTTTCCCATCAGTACACTGATTTTCATACAAGTCTACCAAGAGAGTGGTCTCAGCCCCTCAAACAGCAGAACACAAGTGAATGCTCAAGTAAGGCATGTAAGCTGTCCCATGACTCTGCCTACAGGTCTGAAATACTCAGACTTTACAAGACAGAGTCCAAGTCAAAAGAAACTACATTAAAAAAATGTCACTCTGTAGTCCTTGACCAGTCCAGTATGGAGCCACGCACATTTGACTGTATGTCAAAAAAAATTCTTACTCCCCGATACTGGTGGAAACTTGCAGAGCCAAAACAGACATTGGTCAGAAAAATGAATTATTTTCTGATTGAGGCATCACCACATACCAATTAGAAGACAACGTGGGAAATCCCATCATCCTCAAATTATGTACTAATTTGTACTTGTGTGGTCCCTAAGGACAGCGTTAAATTTGTATGGATATGAATGGAGACAGAAATTGTGTTTTTGTAGGGAAGCATTTTGCTGTCAGTGGTGATTGGTGATGATGTATGAAGCAAAAAGAACCTGGCCAGACTTATAGATTCACAGCCTATTAGGGGGAAAAACTAACATGGCATCACCAAGAGATGATAAATGAGGCACTCCACAGTGCCATTTTTGGAGAAACACTTTTCGAAGTGGAACAACATGTGAAGGTTGTCTGCTAAAATGCATTTAGAACACGAACGCAGATCTCCACCTCTGTCTATTACAAAGTATGGCAGGGCTGCCCCTTCTTGCCTGCTGAATACATATAAATGCATACTATTGAAAGTTGCTCAGTCAAACTCTGTCTCACAGCTCAGTCTCTAGAATTTGGAATTGACTTTCTTGACTGTTTAAACACCGATACTGCAATTCCAGGCTATGTTATGGTTATTACAGAAACCCCTGAGGAGATGTGGAGACAAGCTTTTAATCCCTGATTATTAGAATAAACCAGGGCTGTCACCATCACTGGCAACATCACGCCACAGTGCAGGAAAATCTAAGTGAGCAGGCTTAGGAAAAGCTTTATGAAGTGCGACAAAGTGAAGATCCACCAGGGAGGTCATTTCAAGTATCATCAGTTTTGCGTATGAGATCTAGAGTTAGATACTTGTTACTCTTAGGTATGAGTACATGAACACAAGTGGCACAAACTTTCACCGAGCAAAATAGACTGTGATAGGTTTTCTAATTCTTTTTAATAACTTGAGTCAGTTTGACGGTTTCCCCAGTTAAACAAATGAAACAAACAGACTAGGCTCACTGTACATGCTAGAAAGGCAGAGTAGTAGTACTACTTACTCTGCCCTATTTGGGCATCTTGAAATGTTGGAAATTGAGAGAGAAGTTCTAAGAGAGCAAAATTCACATAAATAAATAACAGATAATGCAAAGCAACACTTGCCTGTATTAGAATAATTACTGCCTTGTTTAAGAAGATAAATGGTGTATCTAAACATTTAAATATTTCCAATCTTAATTCTCTAAAGATTTAAACTCAATATGCAAATTTCAGCTTATGAAAAAGTAATTATCTATTTTGGACTGATTTTTATTGTTGCACTTGGCATACAGATTTGTATAATCATCATTCTTTAACCAAAATTCTAGCTTTGATTTCACCATGCTGTTTCCAATTTCAATACACTGCATTTAATGATAGCAGAGATTAATTTATTAATCCATTAGACATCAGTTCTATGGTTCAAATAACCTCTCTTCAAACACAACTTATCATCAATACCTACCAAAATGACCTTTTCAATGTCCTTGGCTGGACACCAATGAAACATCCCCGTAGAGTCATATTTTTTCACATTGGCATCCATATTGTCAATCTGCTCGTTGCCAGGAATTAACAAGGGGTCATGCCTGGGGAAAAACAAGTTGAGGACAACATGAGTGGAAAATATTATGAATTATGGATGGAAAGATATCCCAAGAGCTGTGTACAAAGACGGATAAAAGTGAAAAAATGAAATGTATTTACACTTTAACATGCTTTCAATGTGGGCACTTTTAAACAAAAGCTGAAAAGAACAAAAAGTTAGGTTTTAAATTTTGTGTGCAGTTTAGGAGATTTTCAACACTCTGTCCACATCAATAACCATATAATTTTAAACAGGGATTTCTGATACCATGACATTCATAAAAATTGTTTTCTTTCCAGTCCCACCCCTCCAAAATAAATATCGGAGCTGTCATTATTAGCATCTGCAATGAAGTAGAAGGGATAGGAACAGAGCCCCATGCTGACTGACTGGCATAATATGGAAAGCCAATTACTTGCTTTTACCACATACAACTTCTGACGTGATGCTCTTCACAGTAAAAGCTTTAACAGGCTGCACTTTAAATATTTTAGCAATTTGCCCAGTCATATTTTGCTTTCCCAAACTGAAGCCCTTTAAAGATTCAACAGTATGTCATTTTAGAGAAGACTGACTAACAAATGCCCACATCTGGAATACATGATTTTAATACCAAACAACATTGTCCATTTTCTCTGTCAACTCTACATGTGATAACCTTCTAAGTGTTTTTGCGGCCAGATTTTAAAGTGTAAGCTTTCTCAAAGCATAAGCAAATTAAATACATTTTTATAAACTTGCTCTCCAGAAATACAGTTACATCTAAACACAGATACATACAGTTCTTTAACTTATATGCTAAAATCAAACATTAAGCTAGGGACTGAGTGACTCCAATGCACTCAGATGATAGTGAGAACCCCTAAGTGATTGTACTATACAACAGCACTAGAAGGGGGACCATGTTTACAAGGCACAGTGTAAACTGACCCTAAAATCTTAAATTCAAGGAGGGAACAGAGCTTTGTTGGGCAAAACTACAGTCTTAATGTTTTTGTCATGAATGCTTGAAATTTCCTTATACAAACTGTAACATTTCAAAGAGAAAATATTTGCAATGTAGGAATATGCTAAATACTCCAAGACAGGTAGCCAAATTTTAAAGCAGCTTGCCTTTTGTAGCCTGTTAAAGAAATGTCCATGCTGGCTGAACTCTCAAAGTTGGGAAGTTTCCTGGTTTCAAAGTATATGAGCCAGCAGACTGTGGTAAGAGCCTCTCTTCTGCATTGTCTACTAAAGCAGACTTTGAACACTCTGTATGATATAGGTTAATTTACCCTGAATATAGTACGATAAATTACCATCTTAAAGCAGTTATGCTTGCATGCCTAAGGAAGTTATAATCTGTAATTCTGTTGGGGTGATTAATTTGTGTAATTTTATAGCCACTGATTATATATCAATTGAAATAACGGGAAAATTCTCTTGTATTTCACTCAAACAGGGTCAACTCCATAGAAAGTGGCTTAAAATAACTTGAGAAACTATTAATACAATGTTCCATTTAAACAAAAATCTTTTGATCCTTTAAGAAAAAACAATGCACTACACGGCAAAGGCATAAACTGGACTAATCTAGAAAAAGAAACACTGTTTTCAAAGTTTTTTCCACTCACTCAACAGAGAGACAGTTCAGTGCATTTCACTATCGACCCACTGGCATCAGAGGAGCCTCTAGAGGACTACCTGGAGTCTCTGACCCTACTCCAGGTTTAGCAATGAAAGCCCTTGTATAAGGGTGCTCCCTCTTTTGTGGGAAGCAGAGGTGAATTTTTGGTGCAAAAGCTGTACCAAAGGGTTTTGGTTTCAAATTCTAGAAAAATATCTAGAATCTGCATTCTCTCACTTTATTTGTCAGTGAGCTGCAGCCACGGCAGTTTTGGCTGAGAGTAAACTGCGATGTTCATAGGGCATGCCTTGCTGCTCATAGTTGCATGTGGTACAGTAACGTCTGCAAGCATGGATACAATTCCATTTGAAGGTTGTACTAATGTTCAGACAACATTTAGCGGTACTCTGTCTTAGCCATTTTTTCTGACGGAATGTGTTAGCTATGTGTTTCCAAAAAAAGAAAGCTTGCCAAAAGGTTAGGAATCCTCAGAAGCTTCCACTGAGAAAAGTTTTTCTTGCTGTTTTGTTTTTTTTCCCCTAAACTTTCACAAAACATTTCTCCACCAGCCTTTCACTGCACAGCACTGAAACAAAAGCAAAGGTTGCTGATCAAATCTCCTTCTTCTTTCAGAAATTAGATGCGCATAGTAAAGAATTTTCCCTTTCCCTTCATCAGAGAAGGTATAATAAATCAATTCGTAAAAAATGCCACAATCTAATTTTCTAATCTATACATACACTTATTTGCAATATGATAAACAGGATCCTCTGCTTCACTGTTTAGAGTATAGCAAGTGGGAGCCTTAAAAGATGCAAACAAGATGGGTCACCCAACAAGAAAGTATGCTAATAAATACCACTGTACTACTTTTCCTCTAGCAGAATGGAGTATTGCCTGAGAAGGAAACCATGAGAAGATCAGCCATGCTTTGTGCTTCAGAATCTGTGGTTTTTGACATATAAGTGTGTTTATCAAATTTAAATCTGGGCTAAGCTTTAATCAATGATTTTTCATTCCCAGTAAAGTGATCCCTGGAGATGTCTATAGAGGTTGAAAACTGTTCACTACTAAGGTCCAACTTGGGTTTTGGATGTTAGAAGAGACACCGGCTTATGTATTTAAAAACTGATTTGATCTTTGGACTTTTTTTTTTTTAATGGTGATTTTATGAAGTAATACAGTAATAAAATAGTATTACTACTTTGGACATACATGCTCTTGTTAATCTGATGATCTAAGCCTGTTTTGCAAATACTAAAAATTAATTAAGACAGACATACAGAGGCCAAGGCTGTCAAATCTGCCTAAGGGGTCTGAACACCCTGTTCCCATTAAAATTCATACTATTGTCCTTACAGACAAATCATGGACTGAATGTTTCTAGAGCCTCTCTGCCTCCCTCACCCTTGAAGATGGCCCTGTCAAGCCATGCTTGAGTCACATTGGCAGGTTACTCTGGAAATGCTTGTATTAGTGCTGCAGGTATTATGCTCTCCAGGGTTATGAAGTCATCTGCTTGAAAAATTCAAATTATAGGAAGAAAAACACCTTGCACCAATTAAAGTCCATAGTGTTTTAATTGAGATGTTGGCTTTTATGGCTTGCAATGACCAAAGCATTTGGTCATTCCAGCTAGGAAAAGGCAGGTGTATATCTATATGTATATCTATATAGGCACGTACAGCATGTTTGGGAGAAAAGAGTGAAAGTTAAATTTCCCTTATCCATAACCCAGCTTAAAAATAGCTTCTCTGATTCTTACAGCAGATATTATATACGCATGACTTACAATGAAGAGCAAAATACCATCTTTTCAAGGTTTTGAAGAGCATATAATGCCACTTATGATCAATTAAACTTGAAAACGATGCTAAATGCCAAGCTACAGCAGCAACCCCAAAAAGCCTGTCTGGAAGACAACAGCCTAAAGCAAAACCATAAATCCCACTTCCAGCAAACCTATTACAAGGAAGTCAACATTACATTTTAAAGAGCACTGCTTTTTACTTGTAGTTTTTGAGTCTGGAACTTGTGAGTCATGACTTGGGATGGACAGAAATGAAAAGATTATTCAGGGCCAAATGGTTGCCTCATTAAATTATTATTGTTTAGCACATCCTTGGATTCTGTCACCTTTGCATTAACACTCTTGCTATCACTCATATCCAATTGGGCATAAGAGCAACATACCCTCATTGATCTGCAGTGGAACTGCTCCAGATGTTGAGCACTGGGAACAAGAACACTGTATGACTAGTAGAGACCCTAGCATTGCTTGCAAATAAACTGTAATGTGTTAGTCCTTCCATATCAGTAAAACAATTTCATGGCTAGTTTTTATTCTGCCCTACAATACAATTCTCCTTCTACAAAATCAATGGCAAAACACCCCTGGCAACACCAGAACTCCTCTTTAACCTGTGTTTGTTAAAGCCTGCAACTACACCTTTCTCGGGTAGATATATCAGGAGTTTGCCCACAAAAAGGTGTTCAGCAGCCTCCTGCTCAAGATTCAGGGTCTTGAAACTCACCTTGTGTGGCGGCCAGGAATTTTAAGTTTTCCTACCTGACTTTGTATGTGTCTGATACATGTGTTTGTGAGTGTACGTACACACATACTTAATTTTAGGAGGAAGGAGTGGGTTTGCTGAAGGTAAGATAGGAACTGAAGACACACCAGAGAATGTCTCATGCCTTTGAAATTTCTCCTACAACTACCCTAACAAATTGTGGCAATTAACATGCTGTTAGTGTTAGATGTATGCAGCCAGTGCAGGTGCTAATAATTGAAAAAGCATTTAGAGCTTTTACACCCTGGCTGAATATTTCATGACGTGCTGCATGTTTCACTATTTACTCAGTGGGCCTCTGTCACTTCAATCTTCTCTGACTGCTTTGACTGGTGCTATAAAGCTCAACCAAGATAGAGTGACAGCTTGTCACAGGTAAACTCCACTGACTCCAGCAGCTCGCTGGGACTAGCTGTGAAGGTTGTCACGACATTCTGATGGAATGCAGCAAATGTTTTGTGACTAATACACCCAACATTTGTCGGCTACCATTAGCCATTCCCTGTAACCCTCTGCAGTCTGTGTGGATGGCATTAAGCTGTAATGAGAATTTGTTGCCTATGTGTGTTACACTAATAACACTCTCTTACTGATCTTTCCTTTCACAGGTTAATCAGCAATGAAATTTGTAATGAATCAGTGCCCACATGCATGGGGCCTTAGAGAATAAAACCCAGTGCGGTAAGACAAAGAAAACCTGCAGTTTACTGTTAAATGCTTTCATTGCCATATTCAGAAGCTATCCTAATGTTAGTTACAATCTCACATTGTCTGACTTTTTCCCTAAACCTGTGAAGAAGAATATATCTAATACAGTGG